AGCGATATACGTCGTATCAAGTCCTGAGAAGCCGATACTGTTGATTGCGAAGTCCCGTGTAGCACCCATTAAGGAGACAACGCTGCCGCGATTGGAGCTGCTGGCTGCCTTAATCGGCTCAAGAATGTTGGCATACGTGAAAAGGGCTTTGAGGAATGTTCAAGTTGACTACACGATGTGGACAGATTCCGCCATTGTGTTGTCATGGATAAAAGGTGACGTCAAAAAGTGGAAACAGTTCATAGCCAACAGAGTCAATGAAATTAGGTGCACTACAGATCCATCAAAGTGGAGATACTGTCCTGGAACGGACAACCCGGCTGACCTACTCACACGTGGCGCGACGCTTGAAAGACTGCTGTGCAGCTCGAAATGGTGGCATGGTCCCGAGTGGCTAACTAAACCGATGTCTGAATGGCCCCTACAGTTCTGTGAACTAGACATAGCGGAAGCCACCCAAGGTGAAGTTACAACAGTCCACGTCGCACTAATGACACGCTTCTCAGTTCCGATAATTGATATTCAACGGTACAGCAGGCTTCAACAGCTACTCAGAGTCACTGCGTGGATTTTCAGATTTACTGACCGATGCAGAAAAAGAAGTAATCATACAGGACACCTCGTGGCAACAGAAATCCTGAACGCTGAACAGTATTGGATAAAATGTACACAAGAGCAAGGCTTTCTTGAAGAACTCACCACTTTGACCAACGGCCAACCAGTCGAGTCTACATCTCGAATCGCTGAACTACGCCCTTACATAGACAAAGACGGAATTCTTCGGGTTGGAGGCCGTTTATCCCTCATGCATTCCACACAAGATGTCAATCACCCAATCATAATGCCGTCAAGTCACCACTTTTCGACACTTTTGGCAAACAGAGCCCATCTTCAAGTCTTACATGGAGGAGTTAGAGATACACTTACGCAGCTTCGGGAACGCTACTGGATTTGTCGAGCTCGCTCTTTGGTAAAAAGAGTGCTGCATGGCTGCAATATATGCAAGCGTTTCAGTGCGGGCCCAGGAACTGCTGAGACTGCTCCGTTAACAAGTCATCGAGTGACACCAACGAACCCGTTCGAAGTTGTAGGAGTCGACTTCGCGGGCCCTCTGTATGCACGCACGGAGAAAGGGGACACGAAGTGCTACGTTGCACTTTTTACGTGCGCCGTATCTAGAGCCGTGCATCTCGAGCTTGTCTCGGAAATGACATCCGAGGCTTTCCTGCTGTGCCTACGACGATTTGCAGCTCGGAGAGGATTACCTAGGGTGATCTATTCTGACAACGCACGAAGCTTTCACAAGACATCGGCAGACATAAAGCGGCTAAACTGAATGTTCTCTGAAGAGGACGTCGCTGGTCACCTCAGCACCAACGGCATTTCATGGAAGTTTATAGCACCAAATGCTCCTTGGTGGGGTGGATGGTGGGAGCGCCTTGTACGATCAGTGAAGCTTCCGCTGCGAAAAATTATCGGCAAAGCTCGTCTGAACTACGAAGAAATATCGACAGTGCTGGCGGAGGTAGAAGCAGTCGTAAACTCTAGGCCTCTGACTTTCATCGAGACAGATGCAGGAGAACCTTGCACTTTGACGCCAGCCGAACTTCTCCTTGGACGAAGATTGACTTCCATACCGTATGCGACCGCTGACGAAGTCAACAGTAGTTCCAAACAATCAGACGCCATACACAGACACAACTACAGGAAGCTGCTGGTTGAAAGTTTTTGGAAGCGTTGGCAAAAAGAATACCTGTTGCAATTACGATCTGCACACTTTGCCGACACGAAATCAAATACAGCATTGAAGCAAGGGGACATCGTTCTCGTGCATGTGGACAACACTCCACGCCAGCTATGGAAGCTTGCAAGGGTCACGGAAGTGTACCGCAGTGCAGACGGTGTCATTCGTTCTTGCAAGATCAAGTTGCAAGGCGGTCACCTTGCGATCAGGCCGATACAAAGACTGTACCCACTTGAACTATGTGTTTAACTTTGCGCGGCCGGGAATGTTGATTATTTTTCACGTTCTGGGCTGGGACAAGGAAACGAAGAAGAAGAAGAGCGCGAGCGAGGGACGCGGGGACGCTCAAGTGACAGCAGAGCGCTTCCGAACGCAGTTAAATAAACAAGTGTTTTTTGCCTTATACCTTAAAGACGGAGTTGAGTCTGATCACAGTGTCTGGAACGCCATCGTCTAAACAATGGAATGATTGCTCTCTCTCAAATGCCAATTTGCGACGTGCCTGTGTCACGCTTCTCCCTTTTTTTTTTTCGGCCCTGCCACGTAAAGACCCTTCTTCCAACATGCGAAGAGAGGGAGGAAAAAAAAAAACAAGCTGTCGCTGGGTTGAATGAATGTGTGGTTGAAGGAAACGAAAAAGGCACTATCTTCTGCAGCCTTTGCCCCTTGCGGCAGCACGGCTCTGCGCGTTGAGGGAAGGGGTCTCTCACGCACCCGTGCCACGCTTCCCCCTTCTTTCCCGTCCCTGCCACGTAACCGTTCTCCTTTCAACGATGCGCGCGAAGAGAGCAAAAAAAAAAAAGCTGCCATGGAGTGCTGGTTTTCTCTCAAAGGCCGATCTGCCTCTCTCCGCGTGAAGACGCTCCTTCTTTCTCGTCACGTACTGGAATACTGCGACTGCTTAGCGTAGAGACTACGCAGTCGTTGCTGTCACCGTCTTTAGAAAGTGTCGGCGCTGGACATTTCCGCGCGCAACTTCTCTTGCCAGGAGAATGGGAGAATGCTGGAGCCGAAGCAGAAATTCTTTGCAAGCTGCGTGCAAAATTCATTGACTCGCTACAAGGCAAATGAGTACAGACGCGCATCACCGATTACTTCAATTAATAACACATGTCCTGTGATTTGTGAATAAATTTAAGTCTTCTGAAACTTCCCCCTCGTGTGTTAGCTCAATGCACATGCGCTACTGCATGGAGAGCCCTTGGTTTATTTAGCCTTCATTAATTTGAACTTCTTTTAATTCGAACAAATTTTAGGGCCCCTTCGAGTTCGAATTATCGAGATTGGACTGTATACACCTATTCATTCATTGCGAATACTTCAAAATTTTCAATATTTCAAATTCGATTCATAGCAAATTCAAATATTGTATTCTTTGTTCTAATACTGTATTCTTCGTTCGAACTTGCTGTGCACCCATTACGTGTACTTAAGGAAACACGCACAGTAATGAGTGTGCCTTTTGTAATGGGTGGCCCGCTTAAAGTCACAAAGTCCTTATGATAATCACAAGATCTGATGCCCGATGGCAATGTACGCTTTTACCATGCTATACACTACATGTTGCATTATGAAGCCTGAAGTGTACAGAGTGCTTGTCAGTGGTGGGAATGCCTTACAGCATTTTGAGCAGTCATTGGAGCAGGCAAAATCTGCTTTTGGAGGAACTATCTTGGTGTTCGGAGCACGCACGAGCTTTCCATGACACACACAGAGAAAGAAAATTTAGCTTTAATTAGTGCAATCTTCCCCCAGTTTACGTATTCATTTATACAGTAGCAGCAAGTCTACAAATAAGCACGAATAAACAAAATAGGATTGTGTACAGAAGCGGTGACATAAGATAGTGAAGGATATTGTACTAACTAGCTATAGCTGCAACATGAAGTTCATAGCAGCCCACACAGGCACACACAAAGATCTTCAGTAAAACCTCGTTAATACGTACACATGCCGAGAACCTGCCAGGAACGCGACTAACTGCACACTAAATGTAGTGTGCATTAATCACGTACACAAGCGTGTACAGGGTTCCCATTCAGGGAGGGGGGGGGGGGCGAGGGTTAGTCGCAGAGCCCCCCTCCCTATCATGTCTATGTATGCCTCCCTCTCGCCACCCCTATTATGTCATTTACGGTGCTAGCATTTTTCCACCTCTACGGTGCTAGCATTTTTGCACCGGTGCTAGCATTTTGCCCCGCTGCTTCTAAGGCAACCACCGCTCACTGCCCGTTCAGTACACCGCAAACAAGAAGGCGTGGATGTCTCGGGCTCTTTTTTCCAGCTGGGTCAAGGCGTTCGATGCTGACATGCACAAGGCAGGCAGGTCAGTGGCCCTTTTTTTAGACAACTGTAACGCCCACCACATCGACGAGACGGAGCTCACGAACATGCGCTTGGTTTTTTTTCCACTGAACTGCCCTTCCGCTCTGCAGCCGCTCGACCAAGGCGTGATTCGAAGCGTCAAGTGTGCTTACAGGGAGAGGTTGATCCAGCGTCTGCTACTCAACCTCCAGCACAAGCGTCCCACCGACGTCAACTTGTGCATGGCTTTCGAGATGGTGGCAGTGGCCGCCGCATGGGTTGCAACATCTCCGTTGCCGATTTAGAACTGCTTCAAGCACGCAAGCTTCACCACGACCGTGCAAGCATCATGCACGGATTGCGCTTCGGCCTCACCAGACAAAGATTTGGACGAAGGCGCACTCGACGGCGCGAATGGTGGCAGTGCAGTGCCTCTATCCCTAACCAACGCCTGGGGGGAACTTCGAGCCATCGACATCGACACCCTAGATGAACTCACTGTTGATGCGTTCGTTCGCGCCGATGACGACGTAGTCATTTACGAGGAAGTGACGGACGAGGCCATTATCGAAAGCGTGCACGAAGCCGACGACACCGGGGACCAAGAAGAGACGCACGCAGAGAAACCCAACCTGCGGGCTGTTTTGGATGCACTGGACACCCTTCGCTCCTTCTTTGGTGCACATGACGACGACGTAGCAATGGACCCCTTTTTTCAGTGTGAAGAGAGAGCTTTGAAGTTGTTGCATGGCAAGGGTCACCAAAGTAAGTTGACCGACTTCTGGCAATAAACTTACGTTCTGCTGGCTGTATCACTGTTTTTATGTCTCACACTCATGGCAACGAAATTCTCGCAAAAACGAAATTGTTCGGTTTTCCTGGCGATTTCATTATTGCGGGTTTCGACTGTATATAATATTCAACCACAAAAAGAGGATGGACCAGTACTCACACAGAGGCAGCCTCGCACAAGCTGTCTCCAAGAACTCGCCGCAGCGAGTTGTCCCGATCAAACACACCCCAGGTGGCTTGTAGTGCGGAGTCTAGAAGACAGTTGCCAGCACTGCGATTCCAGAGGGCGTACAGCCTGGAGCCCAACGTCTCGGTAAGCTCCAGGCTCCAGTTGATGATGGCTGAATCTTCTTCAAGTTCTGGGCAAGAAAAAAGAAAACATATTAATTTCCACCCAAGCAAAAAAAAATTGCGAAAATATTTTGCATAAAAAAAATCAATAGAGTTTGCAACGTTACGGGGCTCTCCATGCAGGTGCTGCACAAAGGATCATCTATGCATAGGGTGCATATCCTTACGCTAGAACTGTTTGTCCATTATGACCCAACATGTATTCCCTGAAAAATAAATTGACTGTTTCCTACCAATGAAAGAATAAATATAACAAAAAAGAGGCGAAAACTCAGATCAGTGTCAACACATATACCAGTGAACAAAAGCAAACGGATCACGGGAGCATGTGTTGCAATCAATCACTGTCTGTGCCGTTTAGTGGCGAGCTGTCTGCTGTTGATTGCACTTCTTTGATGGAATTCACCAGAGAAATGCTTTTTTCACTAGACAGTTTGCCACTAGACTGTGCAGACGGCAAAAGTATACGGACAGCAATAGTCTGCATAATTTTAGTCACGGTTGCATATACATTGCATTTTATTTACAGCAACAAGGGTGTGATAAAAAAAATTAAGTTTATTCCTTCTTCTCCACCTTATTGATAAATCAAAAGACATCTCAATAAATATATGGTTATTTCACAAAAGAGTTTTATTTACATCCTGGATATTAAACTTTTCTTCTAGGCATTAAAAGAATGCATTTTAGACATAAAAAATAGGCAAATAAAACTCCATTTAGGCCTCAAAAAATGAAAATATAGGCACAATAAATCTTCACCTTAGTTTAAAATATTTCACACAAAGATGTTCACAGCATATACCTACGACAGCAAAGCAGAAATGTCATTGTTTATTATAGCACAAAGGCGTTAACAATTGAACATTCCTATTCAATAGCAGTTTTTCCCACACGGTTCTCAAAATATGGTCTCTCCTTTTATGGCAAGTCAAGCGTCCACCATAAAATCAACACACTACTGGGTCCCTCTTTAACCAGCATGTATGAAAAAGGCCACACAGAACGAGATAGTGAAACCACTAAAAGACCAAAAGGGAGGGATGCCTCGTATTAGCCAGGTATTTCTCTCTTACCGATGGAAAATATCAAAGGCCCCTAAGCAGGACTGAGTATTTCGGGTGGATAAGTGTATGCATGAACTGGGCGCTCACAATCCCGTCTGCCAAGATTTTCAACGCCACATGCCACGGTACAACAAGTGCAACTGAAGGCCATTTCCCCTTCTCGCGGTAGAGTGCCCCAAAATGAAGAGGGCGACATACTACAAGGCGCTTACAACACTCCTCTACATAGGCATTGGTGCTCTGGCGTCGCTCACAGTAGCATGTGACACTGAGAGAAACATCAAAAGCGACATGTGTGATTTGTGTAATCTTTTGCTTGAATAAATGAATATAAAGCTAAGGGAAATAATGAAACACAGACAAAATGTGCATACTTTTTTTTTCTTACTTCGGATCGCAGTGAGATACCAGACTGATTGGCCTCCATTTGCATGTGTTCGTCTTCACGCCATTCCCACATTGTACCAGCACCAATACTTGCAACACTCGGCGTATTTTGGGGCATCATCTCTAACAGCAGTTCCCGTGATGCGACGCGATGTATCATGATAACAGTGATGCCAACCGAGGTCTTCCAATTTGGAGCAATTTTCGCAGCAGCAAAATTTTCATTTTGAAGCACTTTACAGCACTAAAATTTTTATTTGTAGCACTTTGAAGCAGCAAAATTTTCCATTTTGGAGCATTTTGGAGCAGCGAAATTTTCTATTTTGGAGCAATCTGGAACAGCTAACTTTAAATCCTGGAGGAGAAGCAAGTTTCATTTACATTCAAAAACAAGAAAAATTATTCTGAGGCTCTTGTCAAGAGCTAGAAATATTTAGATTCATTGCATTTCATGGAGTCAATCATCTTAGAAGCACTCCCTATTTCAGTTGATGATGCAAAAATAATAGTGTCATGTTGTTGAGCATTCTGGAGAAACTTGTTCAGTGATTATTTCTGTAGCAAATAAACAGAATACTGGTTGAATAAAATTTTACTTCATAAAACAACAATATAGATACACCTATGTGGTTATCAGCAGATATGATAGATAAACACTGTGCCTTACAATGCTAGAGACTCACACAGTCCCAAGCACATTTCCCTAAGATGAATTGAAGAATTTAAAAAAAAAGGTTCTTTTTCTTAACAACTGATTAGACTGCTGGGCGTAATATGACGTCATTCCGCTAGTCTCAGAAAGCCAACCTCCTCTGGCTCTATCTCTGTGCTGAAACTACACAATTTAAAAAACTACATTTTTCTTTTGCAGCAATATTTTATGTCGCTAGGGCATTCAGTTAATACTCCAAACACCCCCTACCGTGTCCTCTAGAAAGCAGTGCATAAAAAATTGGCCCCGTATCTGCATGTAATCTGCAAATGTCATCGAAAGACGATAGTCTTGCGTGTGGAGAGAGTGAACAAAACATTTATTTGATGTTTTGCACAAGAAAATCGATGAATGATATTCCGGAGGGGCTGCGTTAGAGTGCCTCGAGCGTGCAGTGGAGGCGAACGAGCGCATCAAGTCATGTCGCACGTGAGACATGAGCGCCATCTGGCAGTTTTTTGGAAAACAAAGCGCGTGGCCCTGAGACGTGCGCGCCCACCTCAGAGGTGATAAGGTTTAGAACGCAAGGCGATGAGTAGGTGCCAACACCGTGTCGTCTTAGCAAAACGTTTGAAACACTCGCTTCTTTGTGCAAGCGTTACATGGTCAGCGCAGCGTAATAAGCGCTACGGTCCTTAGTATTGCTTATGTATGCCTTTTCTAGTAAAAGACGAACATGCAGAATATATACGTGTTGTTATGATACCACAGATATGCGCAATAATTGCTTTTTAATTGACAATCGCACACGTATGAACGCCAATTCTTGAGCAACATTGGTGGGCGCTACTGATAGGGTCAGCCGTTCGGGATATCGGCTGTTGCCGTTTAGAGTACCCGGTTTGCGGTAATGGTGGACAAACAGACAAACGTACAGACAGACATACCAAAGTTTTTGCGACGAAGGTCCTCAAGAAAGGCTATCGTCTTTAAAATATCTCACAGGGTACTTTATGCATATGCCTATGACAACTCGAAGGTAAGATCCATTTTGTTTTTTACGCCACTGGCCGTCATGTTTTGTGTTATGTCCCAATCGATAACATCCTCCGGCGCATCATGTTTTACAAGCGGGTAAAAGCGCGGGAGTGGGGGCGACGAACTGTCTAAAGAAGAGATAAGAGCCGACCTATCTCCTTTGTACTGAGGACGGATGCGATAACATCAACCCAGGTGACAGGCCTCCCATCAATTGTTACAAGCAAAAAAAAATGCACCTCCTCTGTCCAAGGGACAAGAATAATCGAACTAAGAACACGAGGAGGGGGGGGGGGGGGGGGGGAGGGGGTTGTTATGAGCTTTGACTTCAAGGGTGTGATCACTGGCACACGCGCTATTTACGACTGGTATACCCTTCTACCCTGTACTCTCAACGCGCGAAGAGACTGTGCAAAAAGTGCTTCGCTTTCTAGAGCGACCATATAAGAGTATGCACTGAGCCTTGATCGCAAGGCGGCCACACCATCGTCGCGCCATTTCGGAGGTCCACTCGTACGTGCCGTTCGTGCTGTACAGATGGAATCACACTGGTATGCGGCTTCTATTTCACATTAGCTACAAGCTACCATTGATGCTTACATTACAGCACAAGGGCCTAACACGCAGTACGACCATGTTTAGTAGTATTACGTCGTCTATCTTTACATATTTCTGAAGAAAACACCAGCAGGAGCTGGTGCACTCTAGACAAGTCTGATTTTATCTGTACAGGCATCGGCGTGCAAGAGATGTTTCGGAGATCTCTAGTCACCCAAGTCACGGATATCGAAGACCGAGCGTACAAGTTTTTGTGAGTGAACGGACCTTAGAAATGACAACCCTGCTGCTAGCGCTTCTCATGAATGACGTCAAGCCTTATTATTTGTTATAACAATACAATTTGTTGGTATTGCATTCAATCCTAAAAGCATAAGTGAAACTAACAAATTGTATCTTAATTTAGATCCTACATTGCGTAACTCGAAAAATTGCTGGCTGAAGGGACAATGATCACTCTAGTTGTCGAAGCTTTCGTGCTGTCAGTTATCTAAATGCGAAGCAGATGCTAGTAGCACAGAAAGTCAACGAGCAGTCTCATTATGCCTCGAGATAGCGCGCACCAGCTACTTCAAGCAACGCAGCAGTCTGCCCTTTACTCCTCCCTTCAAAACGAAGCAATAAATGCGATGCCGTCATGTTAATTTTTTTTTTTAACTGTCAGCTATTTGAATAGCGAGAGGCGAGCGTGTAACAAGACGTAGCCGCTCCACAAACCTTCCGACACCAGAGCCACCAGCGATGGCCTCACTATAGCTGTGCATATTAAAACCAAATTGCGGCTGCTCCAACCAGGAGGCATGCTTTTATAAATGAGATCCTAAGGGCAGCAAAGACACAGTACTTCGAGAAATTGTTCCCTGCCGAAACGATAATGCGAACCGATGTCACATTGAGAAAGCTAAATAGTTTACTGCATGGAAACCAACAGGCAGATAATCTAGAGGAATTAACAGTAGACAGTGAGCTCATTTCAGGCACGGCCTTAGCTGACGCTTTTAACAACTATTTTGTGTCGCTTGTTAATAGCTCCTATGATCCCCAATGCATAAAATATTTAAAACCCAAAATCGTTCACAGTGCATTCCTAAACCCGACAGACAATCAAGAGATACAAAGCATGTTTCGCAGTATTCGGAATAGTAAAAGCTGCGATATCGATGACCTGCAGATTCGCCCAGCAAAGCATGTACTAGATCTAATCGGTCCTGTCTTGGAGCACGTGTACAATCTTTCGCTGGCGAACGGCACATTTCCAAGACGCATGCAAATCGCGAAGGTAACAGCACTTTTCAAATCTGGCGAC